ATGGAGACTACGGAGGCCTTTTCTGCGTCGAGTGAGGCACTGCCTGGCAGCTCCCTGTTCAGCACTGACCTGCTGCGGGGCGTCCTGGGTCAGGAGTGGTCCTCTTGCAGCCCTGTATAAAGACGTGTTGCTGGCTGAAGGGACCAGTTAACGTGCACGCGCTTCCGAGCTCAGTGAGCTGTGTCGCTGGCGCCGGGGTTTGGGGGCTGCTGTGGCTTTGTCCTGTCTTCTCGTATGCATAGCGCTCTGCCAGCAGCTCTGTGAAGCCGGTGCCGCGGCGCCCTGCTGAAGCTCAGAGAGGGTCAGGGGCTCCGTCCGGACACACGGCAAGAGAGCGGCTGAGCCCGGGCGGGCGCGAGAGGGTCCCCCTAGTCTCCAGCTTCCGGTCTTTCTTCACCCCCATTCCCCATGGAGGCTGTTCGTGCACCGAGCATGTGCACGCGTGTGTGTGTGCACGCATGTGTGTGTGCGCGTGTGCGTGTGCCTGTGCGTGTGTGCACATATGTGTGCGTGTGTGGTGTGGGTGTTAGGGGTGGCAGTGCGGAAGGATAAAGCTCAGAAACAACCAGAAGGAATTCAGTGAGGTTTGGCAGAGCGACTCCGCGGTCAGGCCGGTAACGGTTTCTTGAGGATCTCGTGGGGAGTTCGGAATTTTCCTGCGTGGCACGAGCAGTGGCAGCCTGGTTGGAACCAGTGGGCACGCGGCTGCGTCAGAAAGGTGTCCTGGCTTCTCAGCCTGCGTGGGCTGGCGGAGGAGCTGCGTTCACACCACCTGGGGGTTTTCTGTACGTTTTCCTTAGATCTGGCCACTCTGTCCCCGAGATCCAAACCGGGAAGCTCAGCTCCTCTCGGCCGGTCCATTGCTCCCTGCCCTCCGGCTTCCGGGCCCAGCAATGGATTTCCCTGCCACGGCAACTCCCCTTCCTCCTCCGAGGCTTTTCCAGGGCACAGAAAGGACGCGGCACCTGCCTTGGGCCTTCGTTCCCCGATCGGCACCCGGGGGCGGCGGAACCCACGTGCCGGAGGCCTGTCTGCTCCAAGCGCCTCCCTCCCCTCAGTACGATCCATGCACCCCATGTGCGTCCTGGCACCCCATGTGCGTCCTGGCACCCCATGTGCATCCTGGCACCCCTTCCTTTTCCAGGGCACAGAAAGGACGCGGCACCTGCCTTGGGCCTTCGTTCCCCGATCGGCACCCGGGGGCGGCGGAACCCACGTGCCAGAGGCCTGTCTGCTCCAAGCGCCTCCCTCCCCTCAGTACGATCCATGCACCCCATGTGCATCCTGGCACCCCATGTGCATCCTGGCACCCCATGTGCATCCTGGCACCCCTTTGCCATGAGTTTGCCGCTGCTGCCAGCTTCTTGGGGCCGCAGGCTGGGCAGGAAGATGTGGCTGATTGATCCAAGCCTTTCGCTTTGACGTCACCCAGAAAGGTCACAGGCTTTCTAGAGGCTGGAAGCCTGGAGAGGGTGTCACCGAGCAGGCTGTGGAGGGGGCCGCTGGGAGAGCAGAGGGTATGGGCAGTGTCCACTCAGTCTCGGCCCTCGCCCGCTGCAGCCCGGGCCCACGGGAAGCAGGAGCTGGTGCTGGGCCCACTACGGGCACAGGCAGACCCTGTCCGGGACTGCGAGGCCTGCTCAGACAGACGATGGTCACTGCTCGGAATGAGATGAGCTGAGAACAGGCGAGGGGCCGGATGGGTGTGGCTCTGGGGACTGAGGGCATACCCACCCCTACCTGGTGCCCTGGGGTGGGTGGCCGCTGGGACAAAGGCCAAGAAGAGGGGCGGGTCGTCTGGTGTCCGGTAGGTTTGCTCAGGCCGTTGCCCCTCCTTCACCTTCTGCCTTGCCCGGTGCTGGGCTGTAGGAGGGGGCGAGGAGGCCCCGTGCACCCCGGCACTGCTGGTGCTTCGCAGGGGAGCTGAGGGGAGGGCCAAGGGACGAAATCAGGCCTGGGAGGCCACAGAGCGACCCGCTGGGAGAGAAGGGTCTGGGGCTCAGAGCGGACCCCACGCCTGAGGTGTGTGCGGGCAGGGGCTGGTGCCCTGGCCTCAGAGACCTAGGCAGGGGGCCCTTCCCCATGGCTGGCCAGGAGCCCACCCTTAGAGAAGACCCTCTTCAGGCTGACGGCTCCAGCCAGCGCCCGCCCCCCACCTCCTCCCAGGCGGGGTCTGCCGGAGCCGAGGCGGTTCCCTCTCCAGCAGGTGAAAACGTAGCAGCTGGCTGGCGGGGTCAGAGGTCACCTGCTCCAGGGCTCCTGGGCCGCCAGCCGGCCGCAGGCCCCCTCTGCCCTAGGGCCGGAAGGGCACACCCGGACACCAGTGGGAGCCTGAGGCTGTCTGGCTCTGGCCCCTGGGCGTGCTTCGCCCGGCCATGAGCCCAGGGCCAGAGCCAGGAGCTGGTGCTGATGGGGGCGGAGGGTGGTCTTGGAGGAAGCTGGGCTGCTGGCGAGGTGGGTTTCAGTGGAGCTAGGAAGGCCCCCAAACCAGGGACGGGCTGCATGCTGGAAAGCGAGGACCCTGTCCCGTCGGGTGGCCTGGCGGGTCCCCACAGGGCGGCGGGGGCTCGGGGCTGTGGGGGTGGGCTGTCTTAGGAGCCCAGGCCGCTGTCTGCCTTTGCCACCCACGCCTCCCACTCCAGCTGTCCTACTGCCCCAGTCTGAACACCGGCCTGATCACCTACTTCAGGGCACAGGGTGGCAGGTCCCCGCCTAGCACCCATCAGACGGCACTGCCTAGTGGTGCCCTGCCCAGCTCCAGAGGGCACGCTGATGGAGGAGGGGCGTGGCAGAGGAGGCAGGTGCCACCACCCTGTGCCCCCAGCAGACGCCCCGGGCACCCAGTGGACACTGAGGACCTCAATAAGGGAGCCCAATTTGGAGACAAAGGCCGGGCGCTGAGGACAAATACTCATGGATGTTGCCGGCCAGGCGCCCGGCGAGCCCGCGGAGGGCGGGGGAGGGGTCTGGCCTGCACATGCCACCGTTGCCTGGGCGACGGTCCTCTCCCAGAGAGGTCTGCTGGGCCATTGTCCGGGGCACACAGGACGTGTCATACACCAGATGGCCGTGTGCTGTCCAAGTCAGTTATCGGGGGGCAGAGTGAAGGAATGCGGCAGGCCGGGGCGCCATCTGTTCCTCGGGCTGCGGGCACCGGGCGGGCATTGAGCACCCAGCCGGCCCGGCCGGCCCCCACGGCGGGCTTTAATTAGCTAATTCCATAATTGGGCTTTATTTCAGGTAAATTGCATTTCACACCCGAGAGGGCGGCACGGCCCCTCCAGGGGTGCGGCTCTGGCACCGTCCGCACACTCGACGGCGGGGCCAGCGCTGGGCTGGGGGCCGGGCCCGCTGCGGGTCCGTCCCGCTGGGGCCTGGGCCCGGGGCTGCCCCAGGCCCCGCTCTCCAGCCAGCCGCTTCCTGGGGTTTCTGCAAATATTTACCCAACAAGGAAATGGCAGCTTTTGCCTTTCCAGTCATTGTTGCTCTCACCCCTCCCCCGGTGGGCGCAGGCTGGGGAGGCCCAGGGCCTGTGCTGCCCGCTCCCCGCCCCCACACCGGCCAGTCCCCGCAGTGGGAGCCAGGGCCCTCCCCTCCCGCTGGGGCCAAGCCGACGTGGGGACCTGGACCCCCATCCTGACACTGGCCTTGGGACAGCCCCATATTCGAAATCTCAGATGCCCCCGGCCCCGATGGCCTGGGTGTTGGGGTGGGCTCTGGAAGGAGGGTGTCAGGAGCAGCAGTCCCGGGGGCGGGGAGGCTCAGCCACCCCCTGCCTGGGCTGAGTGTGTTGAGCTGGAGTGGGGGAGCCTTGCAGAGCATTGGGGTGCCCCCGAGGCAGGGCAGGGGCAGGGCGGCACCTGCCCAGCGTACGTCCGTCTGCTAGGAGCTGCAGAGGGTGCACCGCGATTCTGGGGGAGATTGAAGCCCAGCGTGGGGCAGCGTGCCTGTGGGGGGCCCTGGAGCTCCGGGCCTTCTCTGCGCCCCACTCTCGCCAGAACCCAGTCTGTGCGCCTCAAGCTCCTTAACGGTCCTGGAGGGTGGGCTCGCGGGTCCTCGATGAGGGCCAGCCTGGCCCGGGAGAGGCAGGCGGAGAGGCCCCAGAGTGTCCCTTAGGGTCGGTGCCCGGGGTGCGGACTTCGCTGTGGCGCCGCAGGCCCTGACCAGGCCGGGCGCCTGGGCAGCGTGCTGGGCCCTGGAAGGTGCCCGCCTCCCCTGGGGCTACTGGGAGAAGGGCAGTGACTGCATTCTGATCATGCCACTGGGCCGGGGCCACCCCCGGGGGCCACGGGGCTGACCCGCGGCCTTTGCCGGGCCTCGCAGCCCCTCTGAGCCCCTTGGACCTGGCCCGTTTCCTCTGCGGGGCCGTGAGTCCCTCTTCAGCGGCTACCTGGGCACCTCTCTCCAGGGGGCTGCAGGGCTCCTGTCCTCGAGAGGCCTCGGGGGCCCAGGCAGGGCCTGTGGGGACGGCAGCTGGGCCTCTGGGCAGTAGTCGGGGATAGGCGCGGTGGGGGGGTCGAGGGCATGAAACACAGGGTCCCTGACTTCTGCTTCCCCCCGCCCCTTCGAAGGGTCCCAAGGCCTGGAGGGGCTGTCGGGGACAGCTTGCTGCAGGAGCGCCTTCGAGCTGACCGTGGCCTAAGGGCACAATTTCAGCAGATGCGGGGTGGGGGGCGTTCCAGCAAAGGCAGAGGCGGGAGGGCGGGCCTGTCTCTGGCCACCTTCTTTCCCTCTTCTCAGCTCAGGTGGACAGAGCCAACTGTGCTGCTGGCTCTGGGGGCAGAGGCAGGAACGGGCTGGCCTCAAGGCGCCCCTCAGTCAACCGGGGAGCCCCCACCCCAGGCTAGGGGGACTGGGGGCTCCTGGGCGGGCGCAGACAGAGCAAGGGAGCTCTGGCATGTTGAGGGCTGGGGGTGGCAGCTCCGAGGGAGGACAGGGCTGTCCCAAAGATGGTCTTCCCAGGAATCAAGGCGAGAGCAGCACCCAGACCAGCCCTGTGACTCCACGTTTATTAGGAGAAGCCAGCACAAGAAAGAATCAAAACCACACCGTGAAACTCATTAAAAGGCAGATTCCAAATCACCACAAATTATTCTGATTTCTGAGACATGACGCCCAGGAGGAGCCCGGTCCTGTGGAGGGGCCGCGTCCCCCTCACGCTCCCCCGTGGTGCAGCCGCTGCGGGTTCTGCGCGTCCGTCCAGCTGTTGGGACCCGGCGGGGAGCTGGAGGCGGGGCTGCATGCGAGCAGGGTTGGGGGGCCCTCTTTTCTCTGGAATGGGTAGGAGAAGCTGCCAGTCCAAAGTGGGGGCCTGTCCCCCGCTATTCCACTGGTGGACATCCTGCCCCTGGCACAGTGCCCCGGGGACAGCAGCGGGCCCATCCTGCTCGAAGCTATGGCCCCGGGGTCAGCTTCTTCACCGTCCCCTGCCATCAAGTCAGCATCTCTGGAGACTGAGGGCCAGGACCCAGGCCTGGGGTCCTCTGAGCGGGCCTCGTGGGCATCCTTGGCATGGGCTGGGCCTGCCCTGCCCCGCCTGTCTCCTCCTTGGGTCCGCCTGGGTCCCTGTTTCCAGGTGGGGGGTGTGGAACCCACAGGCCCTATCTAGGCTGCCTCTCAGTCTCCCCTTAGAAAGCCCTCTGGGGTCTACCAGGGTGGCCCTGTATGCACCTGTCCTATTTCCTGCCATACATGGGACAGATCGAGGGCCGGGATGCCCAGCCCTGGGGCCCAGCCTGACCCGCTGCCACTGCGTCCCAAACACCACATAAGCAACGGGGGCCACAGTCTAGAGGCTTCCTCACCCAGCCAAGTTCTAGTACCCGCCGGCTGGGAAGAGGTGGCCTCAGTGAACCCCCAAGCCCACGCTCGTGGGCTGAGGTGGCCCATGGGGAGTCCAGGGCCTGGGAGAGAGGGGCCGCTCTCTTAGCCCTGGAGGAAGTGGCAGGCGGCCTGATGGGCACCCCTGCTGAGCAAGAGGCGGGGCAGGCCGGCAGGCCTCCCCCCCCTCAGGCCTTGGGCCCTCGTCAGGACCCCTCGTCGGGACCCCTGCGGGGTACGGTCAGCTGTTCGTAGGTGGGCAGGGTGTTACTGGGTAGGAAGAGCTCGGGGTTGATGGAGCCACGGCAGGGCTGGGCCAGTTGGGCCCCGCTCCCGCTGGGGGCCCGGCCGCCCGGGGGGCCGCCCTGGTGCAGTGAGAGAAGCTGGTGAAGCATGTCTGTGATGAGCACCAGCCTCTGGTCCAGCTGTGTCACCTGTGGGGACAAGAGCAGAGGTGAGTTAGGCGGTGGGGCAGCCCCGATGTGCAGGCGGCTCCTGGTGCCTGAGGGTCTCTGTAAATGCCAGCCATGCTCAGGCCTCGGTCACGCCTGCGTGCGTGTGGAATGTACCTACATGCCTGTGGGTGTCAAGACCCCTGAGTGTGTCTGCACCTTTGGAGACGTGTGGGTGGGTGGGGGCCCTCTGTAGCCAGGGAGCAGTGGCCCAGCCAGGGCCAGGGTCTGGAGAGGGGCCACAGCTCAGACGGCCCCCAGTGGCCTTGGGGTGCTCCGTCCTCCCTGCCTCGGGGACGTGGAACACAGGACACTGGAAACAGTGGGGGAAGGAAAGGAGGCGGCCAGTCGCCCGCCGGTACGGGGAAGCGGCGAGCATGCAGGGCTGCTATTGGGGACAGTGTGACGTGGCAGTAAAAACCAGGGAGGGAGCCCCACCGAGGGTCAACTGCTGCAGCCGGGGACGGCGCAGGCAGAGCTGGCCGCAGCCGCTCGTCACCTGGACACACGCACTTGGTGACGTGGTGTGTGACGTCTGTGTCCCCAGCCGCCCGGAGTCAGCCTGCCCCAGGACCCACCTGGGCCCTGCTTCCTTAAGACCAGGTGCAGCGAGGTGCTGGCTGGGGGGATGGGCTGGGGAAGATGCTGTGGGGTGCAGGAAGATGCAGTGGACCCGGGCCGGGCTTCGGTGTGGCAGTCAACACCCCACTTCCCAAGCCTGTCCCAGCAGCCCCGCCTCTGTCCGAACGGCTGCGAGGTGGCCTGTCCCCTCTCCTGGGGGCTGAGACGCAGGAGAACCCCCGGGCACGGTCTCCGCCTCCTCAGCTGGCACTGGGTCTGAGACCTACCTGTCCCCGGCCTGAGGACAGCTGCGGGTCTGAGGTCCCATCATCCAGGCGAGAAGGGCCTCAACTTCTACTTCCCCAGGCAGAGCTGATGCGGGAGCCCAGGCTATAGAGGGAGGGGGTGCCAGGCTCCTCTGGGGGGCCATTCACTGCACCCCCAGCCCCAGACACCTGCCCTACACCCCATTTCTCTGTAGAGCAGCTTGGAGACCATCGCCAAGGCCTACCCCTACCCACGGGAGAAGGGCCTTACTCAGGTCACTGGGGGGACCGCACCCCACAGTCTCCACTCTCAGGTTCCGTGCTGGGCAGGGTGGGGACTGGTCAGCACCTGAAGCACACACTGCATGGGGTGTGGGGAGGGGACCCCACCTCTCCTCACCCCTACCCCAAGCTCCCTCCCCAACAGGATGGGCCTCCTCAGTCCCACCACCAGCTTGTGCCCTGGGAGGCCCTTGTGGGGGGGTCACCTGGGCTCTGGGGTGCCCCTGGGCCCCGCACGGAGGCAGCCGTGACCGAGGCTGGAGTGGGCGTGGCTTAGTGCCCGGCGCGGCATTAACCGGAGCCGCGCACGTGACAGATTTGCAGCTTCATAAATTTTCCCTTTACGGCACTTGAACGTCTGCTGACGCGTCCAGATGCGCAAGGGCGTGGAAGGCTTTGCGGGGTGTCCTTGGGAGAAGGGACGCGGCCGCGTGGCCGGGAGGCGGGCAGGGTGAGGGCTGCGGGGCAGGTCTGAACGCCAGGCCACCTCGGGATGACAGTCCCTACGGGGAGCGGGCAGTGGGGGCCGAGCCCCGGGGAGCCCTCCTGGTTTCTGTCACCTGAGCTGTGCCCCTCCTAGAGCTCGGGCCACACCTCCGTGCCACACGCCCCGGGCTCCCTGGTTCACCCATCCTGGCCTGGCCCCGGGGCCCTGTGCTCGCCTCGGCCCTGAGCACAGAGCGCCTTGGCCGATCGTGAGGCATGATGAGCAGGAGGGCGGAGCGTCGGTGGGGCGGGTGCCCGGGAGGCTCCGCCACCCCTGGGGGAAGGCAGTGCCCACTCCAAGGATGGGGCGCGTTCCCCGGGCGCTGCCCTGGCAGATCGGTGTTGGGGATCGCGTATCATCGTTCTCTGCAACTCAACAGCGACTAAAAGGGTGAGGCCAGCGAAAGCTGCCTGGTCCGCTGTCCCCTCTCGCCGGCTCAGCAACCGCAGGGCGACCCACGGCCCCCCAGGAGGAAAGGCAACTAGACGGACAGCCAGTTAGGCACCCCGGGCGGGGCGGCTGCTGGTCCGACCCCCGGCCACCGGCTCCTGTCTGATGTGGTCACGACTTAGTGTTCAAAAGAAAATCGTGGAAAAGAGTCTTTCGGGGGAAATTTTTGCAGAACCTGCTCAGCCTTGATCTCAGCTCCGGACCTCGTGCCGACGACAGCCCTGGAGGTGGAGACGGAACAAACACCCAGGGGCTCGGGGCGGGACCGGGTCCCTGTGCATCAGCAAGGTGGGGTGGGGCCCCTCACGACAGCCCAGGGCCCTTTCCAGGGTCCCGGGGCAGAGGTCGCCTTAGCCCTCCTCTTGTCTGCCGACGGCTCGGGGGGAGCCATTCTCAGGCGAATACTCAGAACGTCTAACACAGGCGCTGAGCTGGGCTGTGGGAGTCGGGGCGTCGCAGCTCCAGGCAGGGCATACAGGAGCCCGATGCCCTGGCACGCACGCCGGGGACGCGCACGGGGACGCGCACGGGGACACAGCTGTGGTGACTCGTGTCCGTGTCCCAGCTCTGCACGGACTTCGTCTTCCACTGGGCCTCACCGCAGAGCTCCAAACGCCCCCACTTCACAGAGGAGGAAACAAGGGGGCGTGGAAACTGACAGGCCGCACCGAGGAGCAAAGACCTCCTCGAACCCGCCCCCCGCCCCCAGCTGTCCCAGGCTCCCCCATTTCACAGACGCTAGGAAAATGTGGGCGCAACGGAGCCGGGGGACGGAGGCTGCCGAGGGGCCCATCTCCCTCCCGCACCGGCCACGGGCCTGCAGCACCTGCGCGCCCAGCGCTGTCCCTGGCACTGCTGAGCCCCCCGGAGAAGGGGTGCAGCTGAGGCCCAGCGGGCCTCACGGGCCTCCAGGCCCTGGCCACAGCTTGGAGGGACGCGGTGGGGCAGGGCTGGGAGGGGCTCACAATAGGGACCCTCGCCTGCTGCCCTCCCAGCCCCTGCTCTGGCCAGCTGGGGAGGGAGCCCAGGCTGCAGAGCTCAGGGCAGAAGTCGCCTTCCTTGTCCTGGGCCCCAGCCACAACTCAAAGTCCCTGGGACTGCTAGCCCCCCCAAACACACGGAGCTCATGAGAAGCCCCCAGCACAGGGTCCGACAAGCGAATTCTGACTGGTGGACAGGAGCGCCGGTGCCCAGTTCTTTTCAAGAGCCCAGCCTCCTGCTGGTCTTGGCGAGGGCCGTAGGGCCTCATCAGGCCACAGTCGTGGACGTCGGGCCCTGCTAGACACCGGGACAGCCTGATGTCCAGCCTGGGCTGCGTGGCTGCGGAGAGGGTTTCAGGGCCTGGCCCCGAGTCCCCCGGAGGCTTGAGTTCTCCATCTCCACAGAACGCCATGTCCATCGCCCACCCCCGTGGGCACTGCTCCCGGTCCCGGCACTCATTTGTTGAGCTGCTGCCTGGTCAGGGAGGGGGACAGGAGCCACAGGGACCTAAGGCACAGGCAGCTGGGCGGAGCACCCGCAGGGCGGCAGCTATCGCCCAGGGAAGCACCGAGGGCAGAGACGCTGGGCGCATCAGCCCAGACGCTTCTCCACCTGGCGTGACTGACCCCAAGCAGCCAGGCTCGGGCCAGCGCGGTCGGCCCTGTGGGTCTTGGCAGTTCTCGCTGCTCCATTCGGGCCTCGCGGTGTCCACGCCCATGCTGTTCCCCACACTGTTCCCCGTCAGCAAAAGGCTCCCACGCCCAGCCTCGCCTCCCCGTTCCACCCAGCAGGGCTGGGGACAGCCCCGCCTGCCCGTCGCGGCCCTGGCCCAGCCCGGGCACCGTCCAGCCAGCCTTCTGCCAGAGCATGGGGGTCCTCTAACAACACGAACCACGCCAGAGCCTCCTGGCCTCCCATCTCATGGCCCGGAGAAGCCCGAGTCCCTTGGTGCCCCCAGGCCCGACCCCGTTTGCTCCCTGGCCTCCTTCCCCGTTCACTCCGTTCCGGGACCTCCTGCTCGTTCTCGGGCGTGGTGGCCTTGGCTCCTGCCGCTCCCATGGTCTGTGCCAGTCACCCCCTCATCCTCAGGTCTGGCCGAGGTCACCGCTCTGAGGCCGGGCCTCCCCAGCCCCCCGAGCAGCCCTGATTTCCCTCTCGGTACCCGGTGAGCACGCGTGTCGGCTCAGCCTTAGCCGTTTCTCTCACTGGACGTTGGTCCCAGGAGACCGGGTCCTCCGCCGGCCCTTGCAGTTCATGCTCGCGAGGTGAACACAGCGGGTGCCGCCACCCAGCCCAGCATCTCGACTCCAGAGCCCCCAGGGGACCCTCTAGCCGAGGGGGAGCGGGGGAAGGGTGGTGGCTGAGGTGAGCTGTCTCAAGACATCCCCCACAGCGGCACCCTGGCCCGGCCCCTCCCCAGAGCACGCAGATGGCCTGCGGGCCCTGTCCCAGCCCTGGGCCTCTGTGACGACGCAGGGCTTAGGAACACCCCTCCCCCACGACGAGGACGAGGACGA